CGGTAGGGGCGCACGCGCACAGGGACGTGCGCTTGGTGCTTTCATGCGGGTGGCTCCTCGATGGGCTTGTTCTTGTAATGGGGCTACTTGTTTGACCTCTCTTCTTCTCCATGCTTCCTCTTAACCCTAGTGGGTTCTTTATTGGCTCTCAAAATAGTCAAAATTTGTTGGTGTGTCCAATGAAGTCTTCTTCGTTTGGGGCTTCTTTCCTCAAGTTCTTCTTTGTTGTTGGTGTACATGTCATCTTGGAGTGTTGGGCCAAATATGATCACATCACCTGTCGTTGTGGCTCTTGCTAGGGAGCCAGGTGAGCGTGCTGTTTATGGTAACCGTTTTGAGGCTTTGTCTTCACCTACTGAGATTGTTGCAAATAGTCTTGACCCAAGGCTCTCTGGTCGGGATGGTGGTGAGAAGGTGTTTTTGCCACTTTTTGGGGATGGTTTTTTCTCAGGGGATGACCAGGACGGCTTCACTACGTTTATCTCTCACCATAGTCGTTTGTCTCCTGTTACGAAGGGTTCTTCTTCCCATATTGTGTCTCATGACTAGTTGTTGCTTGTTGAATGAGCGGGGCTTGAATGCTGCCGCAAAAGGCCGTGAAGTCCGCTCTGAAGGGATGCGAATCCCAAAGGGAAACAAAATCACAATGTGCAAGAAGAAAAACAGAGGGAAACCATTACCTTTGAAGAACGTTTCTTCAACTTTTTCCCAACGAACACCACCAAAAAAATCTTCCTTGCTATCCTCTTCGGTTTCGAGAATCGTGCTTGTGGGAGCACCTCGTTTGGAATGAGAGGTAGTATGGTGAGAGCTTAAGAGAGATGGGAGTTCTCTTGTTTTTTCTTCTGTGACAATCGTTCTATTTTGCAGAACGTTTCTGCAAATATTTCCCAGAAAAATAGTGACGTGGGGTAACTCCCCACGTCACTTAACTCCCCACTCCCCTGCAATAATCCAGGGGAGTTAATAATTAATATTAATATAATTATTATATTAAATAATTATTTATCAAATTAATAATTGATTAATTAAATGTAATATTAAATAATTATTAATGAAATTAATAAATAATTAATATTAATAATTACTTAGTTAAATGTAATATTAAATAATTAACAATTAATTATTTAACATTTAATTAAATATCTCATATTTAATTAAACTATATTATCTCTTGTATAACCTATAGATTTAATGTACATCTTGTTTGCATTAATTTTTAACCTATAGTTTTAATATGAATCATATTCATATTAATTTTATTTGAATCTCATTCAAATAATTTCTCTCATAATATATAGTTTGAATTTAGAATTAACTATATATTATAATGTATCAATAAACATATAATCCGTTAAGAAATTTGAACAGTTCAAATTCTTCCAAAAACTTGATCCTCGTTTTACCCGTTATGAGCTAGCAAGGGGACCTAATGAACCTACAGATCCAAAGCTCCAACGATACGAGATTATAGGTCAAACTCATTGACCGAGTTAATCAACATTCGTTAACTACAGTCACTCTACTAAAGACCCGCAGTTACACTCTTCTCACTGTAGAATGTTTTCGTGTCCATGGATATAAGACCATTAATTACGAGTCAATCCTTCACGAGTGCTTGTAACTGAAGTTGGGTCAAATTACC